CAGTGACCCAGGGGTCTCACATAGCAGAAAATGGTGCGGCAGAGAGAGACTCACCTCTCATGTGCTATTCTTTTAAAGCCCTCAGAACCACGCCCCTGACCACCATTTTTAATCCATTTACTACTGCACAGTCCTACAATCCAGTCACCTCTTCAAGGCCCCACCTTTCAATGACCATAATAGGATCTCCCACCCTCAACAGTCACAGTGGGGATTAAGCCTCCGTGAGGTTGCAGGGAGGGGCATCTAATCTGCAGCACTACAACACGCATGATCGTTGAGGACACCAGCTAAGTGAAATAATCCAGTTACGGAAAGACAAATATCCTATAATTCCACTTTTATGAGGTCCCTTGAGTAGTGAAATTCTTAGAGACAGGGGCCGAACCCTCGGCTTGGGAAGCGTGGTGGCGCTCCCGCCCGAGGGTTCGGATCCCACATACAGACCAGCCGCTCACTGGCTGAGTGAGGTGCAGGAGCAACACCGAGGGCTGTGATCCCGTTGCCGGTCCCGGTCCGGTACGGGCACGACACTGAGGATTGCGATCCGTTGCCGGACACGAAAAAAGACAAAAAGGAAAAAAAAAATTCTTAGAGACAGAAAGTAGGATGGAGGTTGTGGGGGGCTGGAGGAGGATGAACGGGGAGTCGCTGTTCGATGGGTTCAGAGCTTCTGTTCTGCACCAGGAAAGAGCTCCGGAGATGAACGGTGGTGACGGCTGTACAAGACTGTGAATGCACTTAATGTCACCAAAGTGGACACGTAAAGATGGCCAAGATGGTACGTTTTATGTTATGTGGATTTTACCACAATTACAACGAGAGAGAGAAAACCGGCTGCTTAAAGCAAAAACAGCCGTGCACAAGCATGTGGGGTGCATCACGTAGGCAGAGGTGCTGCTGGGGCAGGAGGGAGGGAAATGCTTCCTACACGCTACACGGAGTGGTGTCAAGTCACTCGGCGGGCGACTGTGGTAAGTTAAAGGCCTGTTCTATAAACCCCAAAGCTACCACTAAAATAACCTCATAAGAAGTTACTCTAATTAGCAACAGTTTAGAGCCTGGTTCTGGTAACACCAAGGTCCAGATTTCGATCCATGTACCAGCCAGGGCCGAAAAAACAAACCTAGTAAACGACAAAGGAGGTTAAAAAGAATCACAAAAATGCCTCTGTCCACTGAAAAGGCCTAGAAACAGTGGCGCCCCCTTAGCAGCAAGCACAGAAACCATCAATGTGTCCTCTCTGATATGTGCAGTTATGTCCATTGTCCCCAATAAATTTGTTTCAGATAAAAGCAGAAGGAGTTGCCTGGGCAGGTGGAAACGGGCAGGTGGTGGTGGTTGTCACACCCGTGCATGTGTGTTTTCTCTTTTCCTCGTGGGACATCACAATACTGTTCTTCCTGTCCTCTGAACTTAGTGTGGCCATGTGACTTGCTTAGGTAAGTGGACGTGATTCTGTCAATTCCTAGCGAGTCTTCCCCAGCTAACACACAGTGGTCCTGTTTCCTTCTGCTGAGAGCCCGGGAGACGCATTTACGTGAGACTGGGGTCAGCCTGGGTCTGCGGGGCCTGTGCTGAGCCCGGCCTCTGTCACTGGGAGTGGGCAGGTGGTCTGAGCAAGAAATGAACTCTGCTGTGTTAGTCCCAGGTGTGTCAGGGGACAGTTGTTACTGCAGCTTACCCGCCCGCCCTGACTAAAGAGTCCCTGGCAACAGACGTGTCTGATCACAGACATGGCTTCGTTCCGCCATGTGGAAGGCAAACAGTCTGGTGGCTTCTGAGGTCCGTTCTGATTTGAAGATGTGAGCTGTGTGTCACAAGCTTCCCCAGCCTGGGGGTTTAATTGAGCTCACATTTTCAAGCCTCTACCTGCATGTGCAGAACTTGGCTCCTTCTTGAGGTAAACGCGGGTGCTCTGACTCCCTCACGGTGCAGGCACAGGTCTGCTTGTGTCCTTCAACACTTAGGGTACCAAGGAAAGTCACGTGCCACTGAGGCTGTGACCAGTGCCCTCTGCCAAGCCTAGCTCCAAAGGGCCCTGTCACCAAGTCCAAGGCCCCTCTTTGGTCATTACTTGTAGGGTCCTCCAGCATCCTTGGGCATTGTCAGGGATCTGGAGGGAACAGGTACTGGAAGGACACCACTGACCTGCGAAGGGGTCGGATCTGGTTTCAGCTGGAAGAAATCCGTCTCCGTCCATCTTCCCTTAGAGAAGTCTCTGATGTGCCGAGCCTTTTGGAAACCTGTTTTCACTCTGCCACGAGCCTCCCTTGAAGAGAAAGGAGAAGATAATTGGAGAAAACACAAATAAATTTTGCAATAAGTTTTCCTTCCACACAACAGTACCTCAGAATCAAAGCAGTCTGCAAGAATATTTAGAACAAATTTACTTTCTCTCAAAGGTACAAGTTACTGAGATGCCAAGAATCTTTCCTAGCATCATTCAAGGATGTCTGTCTCCTTCAAACCTTGGCTCTTGCGTATTTCGTGACACTGACTTTACATCTGCAAATTAAATAATCTCTTCCAGTGGTTTTTCCAAAACAGTCTTTCCCAAAGGCCTAGATCTTTGTGCTCCAATAGAAAAATGCTCACAGCTTGAAATGGCAGCGCGGTTTTTATTTCCACCGCCCTGTCCCGGTTGCAGGGCTCTCAGGGCCCAGGTTCAGTCAGTGATGCCAACTGTAACTGCATTTCAGCATCTTCTTAGTTGTCCGAAGCCGCCTGTGGCAGGAGGAAATGGGAAGAGTCTTGGGTGGCACTGTCCCCTCCGTCTTCTTCCCACTTTCCGGGACCACTGTCCTTGCTCTGAAATGGTCTGGTCAGGGTCAGTCTGCTGGGCTCAGGAGCCTCAGCCGAACCAAAGGCCAGAAAGCCTGACACGAAAGCCACAACGTGTCCCAGCCACTGAACAAGAAACACGCAGAATAATCCCAGAAGTGACAACTGTCCCAGCAATCCAGCAAGGACGTGGACTTAGGAGCAAGGACATTTACTCACCATTAGGATCAGAGACAAGAGCGCACGTGGAGCCAAACGGGCACCAGGGAAGGGTCCGATGCCAGCCTCCTGCAGGGACGAGAGAGGGACCGGAGGGACGCGCCCGGCCACCTGGAGCTCGGCCAGGACGTTTTGAGTGATCCCCTAGTATGTGAACAAGGCCGGGCCGCATGAGACACGATGTGGCCCTGGACACGCACAGGTGGCCCCAACTCCCTCCCAATATTCTCTTTCCGGTAAACGTTTACCTTAACGTTCCCAACAGAAGGGGCGTCTGAACTCGGTCTCGCTCCTTAAACCGAACACCCGGACTCCCACCCGGAAACGCATCCCAGCGGGGGCCAGGGGACAGTCCCCGAGGCCGCCGTCCACGGTCCCTGGGGCCACCCTGGCTGGACCCCCGACCTGCCACCTCCTGGGGAGGCACCGAGCACAGAGCTCGAAGGAAGCGCTTCCCGGCTGAGCCGCACATAACGACCGGCGACACCGGCTCTCCCGGGGCAGCCACTTCGGCAGAAGGACCGCCTTCCTGCCACTGTCGCCGGCGTTCCTTCACCTGCGACCCACCGCCCTCCCGGACCTGAAACCGGCTCGGCCGGACTCGGCCCTCGGGGCGAACGGCCAGGCCGGTGAGAGCGCATGTGTCACAGCGTGTCGGGGCC